AATTTGTTAGTCTCTAACAAATTTATTAGAGCATAAGCTTTCGTGGACTACAGCCCACTTCTTCGGATGATGCATCCGAAGAAGTGGGCTGTAGTCCACGAAAGCTTATGCTCTGATAAATTTGTTAGTCTCTAAGGTGCCACAAGTTCTCCTGTTCTTTCATCTAACCTGTATATATTATATTCTGTAATCTACAGGCTGCATTGCAAACTTGTTAGTTATAATATCAGCATGTTGAAATTATGGAGAAATTTAATTAGGCTCATCAGCCTCAGGAACACTCAGTGAAAGATGATTTATGAACAGATAAGTTTAAGAAATGACACTCAAAATTGCTGTACTGTTATATCTGGTCCACAATAAGGAAAACAGTGCTGCAGCTATAATGCAAGCAGCATTTCTGATTTTACACAGTGCTGTCCAGACACCAGTTGAACTACAGCAAGCCAAATGTCAGGAACACAACTTAAACGGGGTGGGGATTGCTGAAGCTGGAGGATGGTGGGTACTGTGGGTGCTGAGTTGAAATAGTATGGGTGAGGAATACCAGGTATGAGGGTAGAGGGGAAGAGTGAGTAGATTGCACAATCTCCTCTGTTACTATTTAGTTCCTCACCATCCACCTGCCCTGCACTCTGTGGAAGTTGCCAGTTAGGGAGAACTTCCATTATTTTTTAGGCACTGAGAGCTAGGCAGTTACTGTGAAACTGGTTCTGTCATACCCTTAAATGTGTTTCCCTGGAGTTGAGTGTAGCATAGGATGGGAGGAGAAGAAAAACAGGGTCAGGTTCCAGCAGCTGCGGAGAGGTAGCTCTTACCTGCAGCCATCCCTGAGAACCCCACCTCGGGGGTGCTACCCCACAGTTAGAAATTGCTGCTCTGTTGCTAATCTGTCTTCATCTTCGTATGTATCTTGTCTATAAACCTGTTTTATATAATTAATTTAACAAAAACCTGTGAGCAAAACGGGGAGAACTCCCAAACAGAAGCTTGGTGTTTTGGGGCTAGCTGACTTCTGAATGCCTTGCAATGGAGGCATCCTTTGCAGGGTTCTCTGAACCTTTTGAAATAGAACCTCTAACAAAAACTAGCTTTTTCCATTGTAACCTTATTTCTGGTGCCTTCAGGAAGCCTGCCTGGAAGGATGGTTCCACAGCAACCTGTGTCCTGGCTGTAGATAATATCCTTTACATTGCCAACCTTGGAGACAGCCGGGTAAGTAGCACTGAGAAACCTACTACATAGATTTTAATTGTATAACGTCCCCAGTACCTACAGGTATTGATCTCCCCAACCACACAACCATTATTTACTAAGCTTCACTGAAAGAGACTGGACAGAAGTAGCTGGGAGCTCCCCAACTATTCCTACAAAGATTCCTCCTTGAAGAGGATGGAACTTAAAGTAGCTGTGTGTCCCTCTAGGTCATAACTTACAAGAACATAAAAATGGTCATACTGGGTCAGACCAGTGGTCCATCTAGATCAGTATCCTGTCTTCTAACAGTGACCAATGCCATGTGCTTCAGAGGGAATGAACAGAACAGAAAGTCATCGAGTGATTCATCCCCAGTCATCCATTCCCAGCTTCTGGCAAACAGAGACTGGGGACGCTCAGAGTGTGAGGTTGCATCTCTGACCATCCTGGCTAATAGCCATTGATGGGCCTATCCTCCAGGAATTTAACTAGTTCTTTTTTTTGAACCCTGTTCTAGTTTTGGCCTTCACAACATCCACTGCAACAAGTTCTACAGGTTGACTTTGTATTGTGTGAAGAAGTATTTCCTCTTATTTGTTTGTTAAACCTGCTGTCTATTAATTTCATTGGGTGACCCCTAGATCCTGTGTTATGTGAAGGAGTCAATAACACTTCCTTATTCACTTTCTCCACACAGTCTAGATTTTTATAGACCTCTATCATATATCCCCTCTAAGTTCTCTTTTCCAAGCTGAGAAGTCAGTCTTTTTAATTGCTCCTCATACAGAAGCTGTTTCATACCTTTAATCATTTTTGTTGCCCTTTTCTGAACCTTTTCCAATTCCAATGTATCTTTTTGAGATGGCGCAAACAGATCTGCACATAGTATTCAAGGTGTGAGCGTACCATGGATTTATATAGGGCTTATTATCTAGCCCTTTCTGAATGTTTCCCAACATTCTGTTTGCTTTTTTGACTGCCACTGCACATTGAGGGGATGTTTTCAGAAAACTATCCATAATGACTCCAAGATCTTTCTTGAGTGGCAACAGCTATTTTAGACCCCATCACTTTAGATGTATAGTTGGGATTATGTTTTCAATATGCATTGATCAACATTGAATTTCATCTGCCAATTTGTTGCCCAGTCACCCAGTTTTGTGAGATCCCTTTGTAATTCTTTGCAGTCTGTTTTGGACTTGAGTAATTTTGTATTGTCTGTACATTTTGTCACCTCCCTTTTTCAGATCATTTGTCCCTGGGGGACACCACTGTTTACCTCTCTGTTCGGAAAACTGACCATTTATTTCTACCCTTCACCTCCCCCACCCATCTTTTAACCAGTTACTGATTCATGAGAGGACCTTCCCTCTTATCCCAGGAGAGCTTACTTTGCTTAAAAGCCTTTGAGGGGCCTTATCATTGGCCTTCTGAAGTCCAAGTACACTATGTCCAATGGATCACCCTTGTCCACGTGCTTGTTGACCCCCTCCAAGAATTCAAATAGATTGAGGCATGATCTTCATTTACAAAAGCCATGTTGACTTCCCCAACAAATCACTTGTGTGTCTGGCAATTCTTTATTTTAGTTTCAACCAATTTTCCTGGTACTGAAGTTAGGCTTACTGGACTGTAATTGCCGGGATAGTCTCTGAAGCTTTTTTAAAAATTGGCATCACATTAGCTATCCTCCAGTCATCTGGTACAGAAGCTGATTTAAGCAATAGGTTACATACCACAGTTAGTAGTTCTGCAATTTCATGTTTGAGTTCCTTCAGAATTCTTGGGTGAAGCCCATCTGGTCCTGGTGACTATTTTAATTTATCAGTTTGTTCCAAAACATCCTCTGACACCCCGATCTGGGACAGTTCTTTAGGTGAGACATCTAAGAAGAATGGTTCAAGTGTGGGGAATGTCCCTCATATCCTCTGCAGTGAAGACTGATGCAAGAATTGTTTTTCCGCAATGACCTTCTCTTCCTTGAATGCTTCTTTAGCACCTCGACCATCCAATGGCCCCACTGATTGTTTGGCAGACTTTCTGCTTCTGATGTACTTAAAATTGTTAGTTTCTGAGTCTCTGGCTAGTTGCTCTTAAAATTCTTTTTTGGCCTGCCTAATTATACTTTTACACTTGACTTGCCAGAGCTTATGTTCCTTTCTGTTTTCCTCAATAGGATTTAACTTCTAATTTTTAAAGGATGCATTTTTGCCTTTAACCACTTCTTTTACTTTGTTTAGTCATGGTGGCACTTTTTTGTTCCTCTTACTATGTTTTTTTTTAATTTGGGGTATGCATTTAATATGAGCATCTATTATGGTTTTTAAAAAGTTTCCATTCAGCTTGTAGGCATTTCACTTTTGGGACTCGACCTTTTTAATTTCTGTTTAACTAGCTTCCCCTTTTTTGTAGTTCCCCTTTCTGAAGTTAAATGCTACTGTGGTGGGCTTCATTGGTGTCTCTCCTCCCCGTCTGCCCCCCACAGGGATGTTAAATTTAATTATGTTATGGTTGCTATTATCAAACGGTTCAGCTATATTGACCTCTTGGACTAGATCCTGTACTCCACTTAGACGCAATTCTTGATTTAGTCCTCCCATTGTGGTTTCCAGGACTAGCCTCTCCAAGAAGCAGTCATTTATGGTGTCAAAATACTTTATCTCTGCATCCTGTCCTGAGATGACATGTACCCAGTCATTATAGGGATAGTTGAAATCCCCCATTATTACTGAGATTTCTATTTTTTATAGCCTCTAATCTCCCTGAGCATTTCAGTCACAATCACCATCTTGGTCAGATGGCCAGTAGTATATCTCTACTGCTATATTCTTCTTCTTCAAGCATGGAACTTCTGTTCATGGAGATTTTCTATAGTACAGTTTGGTTCATTTTAAGATTTGTACTATATTCGACTCTATGCTTTCTTTCACATATAGTGCCACTCCCCCACCTCCATGACCTGTTCTGTCATTCCTATGTATTTTGTACCCTGATATTGCCGTGTCCCATTGATTATCATCATTCCACCAAGTTTCTGTGATGCCTATTCTATCAATATCCTCATTTAATATCTGGCACTCATATTTGCCCTTTTACTAAGAAGGGCAAATATGACTTCTAGCATTTGTATATAAGCACTTACAAAACTTGTCAATATTTAGCTGTCTGCCATGATGTGATGTTGTGTTCTTTAGCTGTCTCCTGGTGCACTCTAGGTTGTGCTAGATACCTGATTATATCTTTTAGCTAGTGGTATATTCAATTTATTTTAAAATTACTTTTGAAATGCAAGTAATTTATGGGATTTGTAAGACCAATCCTCTTCCTTGCCAAAGGGCTATTCAGTACAATATCTTTTGGTCTTGGCATGAATTTTTATTTCCTGGGGAATTGAACCTAAGAACCTTTGTTTAGGGGCAAGAACCTTTGTTCTGCTTTTATTTTGGTAGAGACTTTATATTACAGGCTTAATACCACTTACTCACAAGGGATTTTTGTCAGCACAGGCGATTTTGTGTCGTTACAACCAGGAAAGTCAGAAACATACAGCCTTAAGTCTCAGTAAAGAACACAACCCTACCCAATATGAGGAGCGAATGAGGATACAGAAGGCTGGAGGAAATGTCAGGTAAACAAGAGAAAGCACAAGAGAAGAGATGGGAATGAGCCTGAACTCTCATCTGGTTTCGACGTGCTGAGCACACCCAACTCCCATAGAAGTCGATTGTGCTTAGCATGTTTGAAAATCAGGGCACATAAGAATCTTGTTGGAGAAGCAGTTGTTTATGGGATGCCCTCCAAGAATCCCGTAACTGGAATGGTTGGCTGGAATTAATTTTCCTGGCCTTAGAAAGAAACTGAGGGTGGATTTGTCCTAGAGGCATGGTACTGTGTTGCAATGGCAAGAGGGTGGAGCAGTGTTGTGTCTTTGAGTGAAAGCCAGATGGCACTAAACAAGCACATATAAACTAAAACATTTGTGAAGGAAATAAAGAATTTCCTGATGTTGATTTTAAAAAAGTCTTTAACAGCTAAAAATTGCTCCTTGAGTGTTTCTAAATCTGCTTCCTCATTTCCTTGAAATGTTGTTATGCATACAGTGACACCCTTAGTTCATCAACTAGGGGTTTGTCTACACAGACAGTCAATGCATGGCAAGGTGAGGTGTAAATCCACTCCACGCTAGTGTGCTGTACACTAACTGTCCACATGGATCCTGTTGATGCACACTGTAAGTTCTATAGTGTGCATTGATATACTCCCATTTCAAAGCAGAGTAGCATTTTAGTATGTGTCAGCAGGGTCCACCCAAACAGTTAATGCGCAGCAGGCTAGTGCCAGATAAATTTACATCCCAGATTGCCATGCACTGTATAGACAAGCCCTTAGTGATGGTTAAGGTTTGAGATGTTCCCTGTATTTAAAATAGGTATTCTTTCTAGAGCTGGAATGGACTTCCTTTCAAGTGCACTCACTCTGTGTGCATGTGAACACATAGACACTTTCAGTCTGGTGTGTATTAATACTTAAATATCTGCTGTATTTTAATATTTGCTACTTTCTTGAAGGTTTCCTCTTGACACAGTCAATGTTTCAACTAGTTACATCTTGACTTTTACAGGGAAGTCAAAATCAGAGTGAAAAGATGTCGTTTGGGGGGGGGGGTGTTTTAAATTCCTAAACATTTGGAATGCATGTGCTTCAAGCTCCCTTGGAATAGTTTGTTGCAGGGTGTGGGAATGGGTGGGCTAAGGCTTGTAAGGCTAGCTTTCTCTATAAACGACATGTCCCTTATCTTCAGAGAGCACATGCCATTATTTGTGTTTATCACCAATCCATCTCTGCAAGTAGGAAGGAGATGAACAAGTCTCTATTAGTTCTTTGCAGACTTTAGGCAACATCTCCATTGACTAGGAATCTACCCCTGTTTCAGTGGTCAAATGTTTTGTACCAGAGAGAGAGGGAGGAAGGGAACTGTCAGCACACTAAGTTAATTATTGCAGTTTAACAAATAAGAGAAGCACCTGAATGGAGTTCATCCAAGTTTTTGGTGGTGGAGTAGTTTCTGCCTACTGTTTTGAATTCAAAGGTTGACATTTGAGTAACACATACTTTAGGTCTCTGCACAGTTGCCTATATGTATTAGTCATCACATAGTACAAGTAGTGCTGTGTATTAATGATACTATATAAAGATATACCAGTAAAGCTTAACTAAAGAGAATTAAATAGGCAGTGTCTCTGAAAAAGTAGGGGGCAAGCTAATGAGGGATGGGGCAGCTTGAAGAAATAAGCAACTACCAACTGGAGAATTAGGGCCTAGGCAAAGATGAGGCCATGATTAGAGGAGCAGTGTAAGTGGATTGGCAAAGGGAGATACAGAGATCAGGATGGAGCAGGTCTCTGCATGGAAAGTCTTTTTTGAAAAGCCAGTTGGTTCTAAGTAGGGCTGTCAATTAATCGCAGTTAACTCAAAAAAATTAATCGTGGTTAATCGCACTGTTGAACAATAGAATGCAAATTGAAATTTATTAAACATTTTTGATGTTTTTCTACATTTTCAAATCTATTTCAATAGATTAAAAAATTAATCACTATTAAGTGCGCTATTAAGTGATAATAGAATACCATTTATTTAAATATTTTTGGATGCTTTCTACATTTTCAAATATATTGATTTCAATTAGAACACAGAATACAAAGTGTACAGTGCTCACTTTATATTTTTGATTACAAATATTTGCACTATAAAAATGATAAAAGAAATAGTATTTTTCAATTCACCTCATACAAGTACAGTAGTGCAATCTCTTTTTCATGAAAGTGCAACTTACAAATGTATTTTTTTGTTACATAACTGCACTCAAAAACAAAGCAATATAAAACTTTAGAGCCTACAAGTCCACTCCGTCCTCCTTCTTGTTCAGCCAATCACTAAGAGAAACAAGTTTGTTTACATTTATGGGAGATAATGCTGCCCACTTCTTAATTACAATGTCACCTGAAAGTGAGAAAAGGCATTCACATGGCACTGTTGTAGCTGGCGTCGCAAGATATCTGTGCCAGATGTGCTAAAGATTCATATGCCTCTTCGTGCTTCAGCCATCATTCCAGAGGACATGCTTCCATGCTGATGATGCTTGTTAAAATAATGCGTTAATTAATTTTTTTGACTGAACTCCTTAGGGGAGAATTTTCTCCTGCTGTTTTACCCACATTCTGTGATCTATTTAGTGTTATAGCTGTCTCAGATGATGACCCAGCACATGTTGTTTGTTTTAAGAACACTTGCACTGCAAATTTGACAAAATGCAAAGAAGATACCAATGTGCAATTTCTAAAGATAGCTACAGAACTTGACCCAAGGTTTAAGAATTTGAAGTGCTTTCCAAAATCTGAGAGGGACGAGGTGTGGAGCATGTTTTCAGAAGTCTTAAAAGAGCAACACTCTGATGCAGAAACTACAGAACCTGAACCACCAGAAAAGAAAATCAACCTTCTGCTGGTGGCATCTGACTTAGATGATGAAAATGAACATGCATCGGTCCGCAGTGCTTTGGATCATTATTGAGCAGAACCCGTCGTCAGCTGGACGCACGTCCCCTGGAGTGGTTGTTGAAGCATCAAGGGACATATGAAACTTTAGCACATCTTGCGATGCCAGCTACAAAAGTGCCATGAGAACATTGTTTTGTTTTTGAATGCAGGCTTTTTTGTACATAATTCTACATTTGTAAGTTCAACTTTCATGATAAAGAGATTGCACTACAGTACTTGTATTAGGGTGAATTGAAAAATACTATTTCTTTTCTTTTACAGTGCAAATATTTGTAATAAAAAATAAATATAAAGTGAGCACTGTACACTTTGTATTCTGTGTTGTAATTGAAATCAATATATTTGAAAATGTAGAAAACATCCAAAAATATTTTAAAAAAATTAATCACTATTAAGTGCGCTATTAAGTAATAATAGAATACCATTTATTTAATCTATTGACAGCTTTAGTTCTAAGATGGCTAGAAAGTCAGTAAGGGTGATGGAAAGAAGGCATGATATGGTGGTCTCATTTTTAAGACCCTTCATGGCTTATTCCCAGCCTGTTATTTCATAAATGGTATTGAGATGTCAGCCCTTACCCTTGCTCTACTGTTGATGTCAGCCTTCGTTGCTCTTGGCTGCACTTTCATGCTTTCTCCCATGTCGCCCCCATGTATGGGCAAAGCCTCCATTTTGTCCTTCAGATCCTTCCGTAAAACTCACCTCTGCCATAGTGTTTACAAAAAAGTCAGTGGTTAGGCTGTTGATTTGCTGTGACAGCTGCTTATTATGGCAATCAGAATCATCTTGTTACTTTGTACTCCTGTATGATGATTCAGTGTGTTGGCTCTTGTCTGACACTTGGATTATACATTCTTTAGGGCAGGGACTGTCTTATGTTTGTACAATACTTAGCACAATGGTCTCTAGGCACCACTACAATACAACTAGTAAATAAAAGATGGGTATAGCACATGCATCAGACTTTCTCCATTATCCTGTACCTCTGCCCTAACATGAAGGGACCAACCCTTGTGTTTTGTTAAGGCTGCCAGTGAGGGTGAAGATTAATGCTTGTCTGTGGTTTCTATTTGGACACCTGTCCACTAGGAGCTACAGTGACACTGCCAAGGCAGGCCACTGAAAAGCCATCTGACAGTGGCTTTCTGCTGCTATTGATGGTGCCTTATGTTGAATTATGCCAGGTGCACGGTTAAGGTAGGATTTTCAAAGGTGCTTGTTGATTTCATTGGAAGCAATTAAGCCAGCGTTGAATGCTTTTGAAAAATCCCATGCTCTGGGCCATAACTTGATGTATTTAAGCTTTCTTAGATATCCCTAGAGTGTGCGGTTATTGACCTTGCTGGAATTGAATCAGTGACCTGGAAGTGAAAGACCCATTACCAAATGCCCCCAGGCTCTTGACAGTCTTGAAATGGGAGGGGCATATGGTATCTCCCTCCTTTTTGTGCACATCACTCATGTTTCTGCATGTCACAGCTCCTTAAAAAAAAAAAAAATACTGCCTCCAGGGCTTGTCTCCTACATATCTCTGGCCTGCCAGAAAGCAGATCAGCATATGCAGTTTGAAGAAGTTGCTTGGTACAAACACTGTAATGATACAGTGGGTTGTTCTCTCTTGTCAGTTTGTGGGAAGAGAGGGTACAGGAAGAGGCATGTTTAGATTTGTGCAATTTCTTAATGCTACTTCTTTGAGTGCTTGCTCATGTCAATTCCATTCTAGGTGCGGGAGGGCCGGCTGTGGTACCCTCTGGAGTGCCACACTCATGCGCTGGTATATGAGGAGTCACTAGCCTTATGTCCTCTCAGTTCCTTCTTACTGCCCCTACAGTTTGTCAGAGTGACTTCCCCCCACCTCGGGAAGTGGATAATGGTTTTCCCCAGCACCTATTTATATATAGTTGTTTACAGTCGTTAGTAATTAGGTGTTAAGTTATAAGGGTTAGTTTAGTAAGTTAGAGTTTCAGCAGGGACTTTGCCCCAGGGTGGGGCATGCCCAAGTCCCCGGGTTTCAAGCCTTGTGGTAGAGGAGATCCCTCGGGAAATGAGGGGGAAAGGAGTCTACTCCGAGATCAGGTACAAAGGAGCCTCAATCTGGTACGTTCCACATGTCACGATCTGGGTCTGTTAATAAACTAAAAGAAATGGACCCTAATACTGGTGCAACGAACAGAGTTTATAGCGGGGTGGTCCTCGATTCCATGCGGGCAAGGTGCTTCCTCCCAGAGGCCCGTTTCTGAGCCATGAGAGACCTGATCTTGCACGTGAGGGCCTGCCCGCTCACCACTGCTTATGCATGCCTAAGGTTGTTAGGCCACATGGCAGCCTGTACTCTATGTGGTACGTCATGCCTGGCTCCATCTCAGACCCCTGCAAGCATGGCTTGTGTCAGTCTACATCTCCAATAGGCACAATCTAGACCGCGTGGTCAGGATGCTGGAGCACATACGGTCATCCCTGGAATGGTGGTTGGACCCTGGATTGGTGTTGGAGGGAGTTCTATTTGCATCCCCGTTGCTGACCCTGGTTTCTGATGCCTTGGACCTGGAGTGGGGAGGCCACCTGGGCAATCTCAGCACGCAAGGTAATTGGTCACGAGGTGATCGCTCCCTCCACATAAACGTCTGAAAGCTCAGAGCAATTCACTTGGCCAGCCAGGCTTTCCTGCCTCATCTGAGGGGCAAGGTGGTCCAGATCCTGATGGACAACACCCCCACAATGTTTTATATCAACAAGCAAGGTGGAGCCTGGTCGTCAGCCCTTTGTCAAGAAGCTCTCTGGCTGTGGGACTTCCGTGTGAAGCATGCCATTCATCTCGTGGCAGCGCACCCGCCCAGGGCCAGGAACGTGTTGGCAGATGGCCTCAGCCAGACCTTCTCATCTCGCAACGAGTGGTCACTCCACCCGGAGGTGCTCAGCATGATCTTCCAGAGGTGGGGAACTCCCTGAGTGGACTTGTTCGCGTCCAGATAGAACAGGAAGTGCCACATATTCTGCTCGATTTTGGGGGATTGACAGAGGTTCCCTATCTGATGCCTTCTTGCTCCTGTGGTTGGGGGCCCTAATATATGCCAGTGCCTTTAATCCAGAGTCCTCATGAAGATCAAGCAGGACAAGGTGAGGGTAGTCCTCATAGTTCCGGCTTGGCTTCGCCAATACTGATTCCGCACGGTGCTGGATCTCTCGGTGGCCACTCTGCTGCAGCTACTACTCTGGCTAGACCTGGTGTCCCAGAACCACGGCAGACTTCTGCACCCAAAGCTGGCCGCGCTGCACCTGACGGCTTGGCTGCTGCATGGTTAAATGCAGAGGAGCAGGAGTCCTTGGCTCGAGTCCAATAGGTCCTGTTGGGCAGCAGGAAACCCTCCACCAGGGCAACCTACCTGGCCAAATGAAAACAGGTTCACATGTTGGGGCCTTGGACCAAGGTCTTAGGCCTCACTACAGTCGATCCTGGACTGTTTGGGCCGATCTTCTACATCTCAGGCTACAGGGCCTGTCTCTTTCATCGATCAAGGTCCACTTAGCCGCTATTTCTGCCTTCCACCCTCTGTTCCAGGTCAGGTCAGTGTTTGCTCACAACATGACAGTCCGGTTTCTAAAAGGTCTGGAGTGGCTCTGTCCTCAGGTCTGTGATCCTGTCCCTCCTCAGGATTTGAATCTCATACTGTCATGGCTCAAGGGCCCCCCTTTCGAGCCATTGGCTTCCTTCCTGTTCCCTTCTTGTGCTTTCATAGAAGGTCTCATTCCTCGTAGCAATAACATCAACCTGTAGGGTCTCTGACATTAGGGTGCTTACCTTGGAGCTGCCCTATATGGTGTTCTACAAGGACAAGGTTCAGCTGCAGCCACACCCAGCTTTCCTGCACAAGGTAGTTTAACAGTTTTATACTAGCCAGGACATATGAGGTTTTGGAAAGAAAACTGGTAAGTTATAAGTCACATGAGAAGCGTAGATTACACACTCTGGACATCAGGGGGGCACTAACTGTTTACACAGAGAGAACTAATCTATTCCATAAGTCAATGAATCTATTCATCATGGTGGCAGACCGGATGGAAAGGCCTTCTTGTGTCCACCCAGAGAATTTCATCGTGGATCACCAACTGCATTTGTTTTTGCTATGAACAGTGAAAGTGCCGCTGCCTGGTTGTCCATCCACACATTCATGTGCCATTACGTGCTTACCCAGCAGGCCCGGGATGATGTTGGCTTCGGTAGAGCAGTGTTCTAAGCTGCACAACCATTAACTCTGAGCCCACCTCCAAGGGTGTACAGCTTGTGAGTCACCTAGAATAGAACTGACATGAGCAAGCACTCAAAGGGGGAAAAAATAGTTACCTACCTTTCGTAACTGTTGTTCTTCAACACGTGTTGCTCATGTCCATTCCACTACCTGCCCTCCTGTCCCTCTGTTGGATTTGCCGGAAAGGAGGAACTGAGAGGGCATAGGGCTGGTAGAGGCTCGTATATGGGTGCCACAGTTGGCCTTATGGATACCACTAAGGCAAAAATGTCTGACAACTGTGCACTTGGGCGCGCGCAAACTTAGAATGGAATGGACATGAGCAACAAATCTCGAAGAACAATGGTTACAAAAAGTAGGTAACCATTTTTCCTCTCTGGAAGCTCATTTTCACCATCACTATAAACTAGCTTTCTTTCCTTGTCCTCTTAACAGGCTGAAGGGAACGGGGTGGAGGATGAGAGCAGGGACAGTAGAGCCCTCTTCTATAACCAGAAGCAATTAACAGTTAACAAAAATTGAAAGCTAAACAGCCATTTAGATTAGGATCCATTGATTAGGACTCATCTTAGTAATAACACTGCTTAAGTTCCTTAAGAAGATAGCAAGGGTGGCCAGTGACTGAGGAGCAACAGAACAGCACTAGAAAGCTTGTCCACCCCACTGTCTTACTGATGCACTAATATTTTTAAAGAAGTATTTTCTGAGAGGAAAAGAATGAAGCCTCCAAAAAGTAGCCCCATCTACACCCTTGATCTGCAGGTGAGTCAGCAGGATCTTATGATCAGTGGTATCAAAAGCAGCAGATAGCTCTAGTTATCTCCGATTGAGAAGAGGAGATCATTGGTCAGAGCCATAACCACAGTAGAACCCAGACTGTGAGGGGTCAAGGAAGTCAGAGGCATCCAGCTACAGGGAATGTCACAACATTCCCACTGTTAACTGAAACAGAAGATTAGAGACAAGTCAATAATTTGACAGATTGTCAAGGTCAAGAGCACTTTAATTGGTGGAAAAAATAGCCAGGTCCAGGTGCTTCATTGTTTTCTGTCTTAGTATATCACTACATATGATGATCCCACTCTGTTCTCTTGCCTCCCCCAATGCAATGGTATTTCCATTCAAAATTATAATCCTCTACTGAGTTCGTAATGGAAACCCACTTTCATTAGCAAATCACTTGTGGTCTATTCTTAATCCTCATGGTTGTTGACAGAGTATCATTCTTTGCTGTACTTAAATGTGCTCTGATGCTCACTGTCTTTTGTTTAAAATATCTCCTATGTGTAGCCTCTCCTTTTTTGAAGTCAAGGTTGGGGTTTTGTTAACGCTGACTTCAACAAACCCTGGTTACACACACTATGCTCAGTTCTTATGCTTTTGAATTATGTTTTCCTGCCCTGTTAAGTTTAACGCCTCTCAGTTTAGGGCAAATCCAAAGAAAAGAAAATGGTTAATCCTACTGATGGTTTCTTTCAATCTCTCCTTATCTTCTGTCATTGTTGAAGTTTCTGTGTGGAGTTTGTTCACCCTGAATGCTATGGCTTAAGAAATAGGAGACATGGGGTGAAATCCAACCTATTTTTAGGCAATGGCAAAACGCCTCCTAATTTAAGTGGGGGCAGGGTTTTACCCATAGTGTCTAAAGAGTAGGCCATCAGGAATAGCTCCTCTGCATTTCAGCCCTAAGCGTCTGCTTGAGAATGTGCAGTCAGTCTTCCAACGAAAGAGAGAAAGGGATGTGTGCGGTGTTGGGAAAGCTGGTGTCCTGCTAAATTATTTTGTCCCAACTGGGCTTCCTTTTCATCATTCAGGGATGGACGAGTGCTGGGTGTGCTGGAGGTTTCCCGCTCCATTGGGGATGGACAGTACAAACGCAGTGGTGTCATTTCTGTGCCGGATATCAAACGCTGCCAACTCACACACAATGACAGGTAAAGCATGTCCAAGCAGAGGGTAAAGCAAGGTATGTGTTCAGTCCCATTTCTGTTTAGCAGTTCATAATGCAGAATCTTCTCAAGTCAGATCACCAGAGTCATCTAACTACTCCTTGGTCTCATCATTGTGATGGCTCTTTCCTTAAATTTGGTTTTTGATGGAGAGTTAATTGAAAAGGTTCATCATGTGTGGAGCAGTGCAAGCATATGTAACAACTACAGACTGACAAAGCCCCTGCACTAAACAGCTTACCATCTACAGTAATTCAAATGCGGTATTATAGGCAGGGCTGATACCCCCAATTATTAAGGTCGCCTGACAATTCTTGCTTTTAAGACCCTGTTTTCATTTGCTTGTAAATTTGCTAAATTCTAATCATTTGGACTGAAATGTTGCATGCTGGGTGCATGCCTCAGGTTGAACTATCTTGGAACATTTCAGCATAACCGAATGAGGCTAGAGAAAAATACATTATTTTTTGCTTATGTGAAAAATTCTGGCAGATTTTCCCTTGAACTGCTTGCACGCTTATGCTCTGGAGCAGTGACTTGATATTTGGTAGAGGGGTGGCCTTTGCGTCCGAGATGTACTTTTTGCCATTCCCACGAAAATGTGCCCAAATTCAGCCAAGATGATATAAGCCTTTGAAAAATCCTAGCTCTCACATGCTCAACAAGGACTTGCTAAAACATCACGACTAAAATTTCCAAAGATTGTGTCTGCATAGGCATGCTCCATTCTGGGGCTAGAGCAGACTTCCCTTGCAATTTTTCACTCTGCTGCTGGGGGTCATGCCAGGGCCAGAGCTGGGCCCTGAAATGGAGAGCAGGGACACTCTTCTGCTCAGTGCCTCCCCCCCCCCTGCTAGTTCCAGGCAGCATGGAGGAGGAAAGTGCCTGATTTAAATGCAGGGGGGATCTGAGATGGAAGGGGATGGGTAGTAGAATGGCACAAGGAGAGGGGACTGACTGGGAAACTGTGGCGAGGAGACAGGAGGGGAAATGAGAAGAGATACCTGATGAGCCAGGGTGGGAAAGGGGACTAATTCTGACTGGGCAAAGACATCAGAGTCAAGTTAGGAAATGCCTGAATTAACGGTGCTTGTGGGAGCTCTGAGACACTAGATGCTGTAATGTGGGGTGCCCTGGTGGTTGTACTGGGGCACCAGCCCTGCTGATACCCTTCATATTCCCTTGCTTTTAGCCACTTCACAGGGGGAGAGAGATGGAAGAACAGAACTTTCAAGGGAAGAGTGAGTTCCTGCAGGAACGGAAATAACTATATATGGACAATACACAGTGACTTTGCATAACAAGTCACTGTATTCATTGTTTGTAGAGCCCCGTAGTATGTCCTGACATAGGAACTCTGCTACTGCATCTTTATTATACTTTTGGCATGTTCTCTAGTTTTGTGTAGGGAATATGTAAGGAGGATAGCCTCGGGGGGCATCAGCATACTTTCCAGCAGCTGATAGCAGTGCTGTCAAAGGTCATCTGTATTTTGGAAACTCTTCCACAAGATTCTAACAGAGGGCATCTAGTAAAATAAATTGGGGATTTTGTAGTTGGAGGGTGGAAGAGCCTACCCATATTGCTAGGGCCCTACCAAATTTATGGTCCATTTTGGTCAATTTCACGGTCATAGGATTTCAAAAGTCGTAAATTTCATGGTTTCCGCTATTAAAATCTGAATTTTCATGGTGTTGTAATTGATGGGGTCCTGACCCAAAAAGGAGTTGTGGGGGGATTGTGGTACTACTACCCTTACTTGTGCGCTGCTGCTGGCGGCAACACTGCCGTCAGAGCTGAGTAGCTGGAGAGCGGTGGTTGCTGACTGGGAGCACAGCTCTGAAGGCAGCACCACCACCAGCAGCAGCGCAGAAGTAAGGATGGCAATTTCCACCCTTACTTCTGCGCTGCTGCCTGCAGAGCTGGACCCTCAGTCAGCCTCCGCCACCCTTTGGCCACCCAGCTCTGAAGGCAGTGACACAGAAGTAAGGGTGTCATGGTATGGGATTGCCACCCTTACTTCTGCACTGCTGCTGTGGGGGGGGGAGGGTGCTGCCGCCTTCAGAGCTGGGTACCCAACCACTGCTCTCTGGCCGCCCAACATTAAAGACAGTGCAGAAGTGAGGATGGCAATATCACAGAATTCCCCCCCCTTCTTCCCCCCGCAACTCCCTTTTGGGTCAGGATCACCAATTTGAGAAAAACTGGTCTCCCCTGTGAAATCTGCATAGTGTAGGTAGAGTAAAAGCACACACAAGACCAGATTTCACGGGGGGAGATCAGATTTCAGTCCCTGATGCATTTTTAATGGCCGTGAATTTGGTAGGGCCCGACATATTGCCTAGCGTTGATTCTCTTTCAGGTTCATTATGCTGGCCTGTGATGGCCTCTTCAAGGTCTTCTCACCAGAAGAAGCTGTAAACTTCATCTTGTCCTGCCTGGAGGTGAGGAGAAGGCAGCTCTAGGGTGGACTTGCATGTGCAGTTTCATCAGTGCAGAAGGTGTGAAATACTAGCATGCTGGGAAGGGGAGAGCATAGAAGAGAAATACTCTTTTAGGTGGAACCAGTGTGCTCTGGCAACTTTATTGAATGAGAGCTATTCTAAAATACTGTAGGATTGCCTCATTCTCAAATGATTGCTTATGGCCATTATTTGTCCTGTTTAATCCATCTCTGCTTCATGGGACCATCACCATTTTATTGTCTCCCAGCCCCAGTATGAAGGAGAGCTGCTCCTTAGCCAGTATGAGAGAGCTTTCCTTGCACATTATTAAATTCCATGTATGAGCAGTCTGGGCTTTTTCCTAGAGCTGGAAGAAACAGAATCCTGAAGAACAGGAGGCTCTTTTAGTGTTGCCCACGTGAAGTTGCTGTTGGATTGTGCAGCATAAAACTGTAATCCGCATGAATGCAGAGCACTGTGAAATGTTTACACTCAGCAGAACAGGTTTGTGTGAGTAGTATGGTCAACTTCCTCTTTCAACAGGACAAGAATATCCAAACAAGAGAAGGAAAATTAGCAGCTGACGCTCGATATGAAGCAGCCTGTAACAGGCTGGCCAATAAAGCAGTGCAGCGAGGTTCTGCGGATAATGTCACTGTAGTGGTGGTCCGGATTGAGCACTGAAGGAAAACATGCAGGGATGCAGTTCAGAGCTGCATGTGATGGATTTAAATGCAAGAACAAAGTAGTGTGTGTGTGTGTGTGTGTGTGTGTGTGTGTGTGTGTGTGAGAGAATCGGGGATGGGGGAGTATGGGTCTCCTCCCTGGATGCTGTTCATTGTAAATAAACTTCTTTTTTCTAATTGTTTTAGTTCATAGTTTTGTTCACCATATTTTATAAATGAATTTCTGTACAGGACAGATTGCATTTCCTGCTACTACAGTTGGGGCTTCATGTGGAAATTCATGATTCAGTTTCAACTGCCTAATAACGAAAGTCTAAGCAAATCATCCAACGAAGTGGGTATTCACCCACGAAAGCTTATGCTCCAATACATGTTAGTCTATAAAATGCCACAGGACTCTTCGTCGCTTTTTACAGATCCAGACTAACACAGCTACCCCTCTGATACTAAGCAAATCATAACTCTTTACCGTAGGTATTGGGACTGTAGTTGCAAGAAAGTGCCTTTTTATCATTGTAATTTTGAGCCAGTTACTCACAGTTGTGAGGGGAGGAGACTGCCAAATAGAAATGGACAAAATCTGTAGGGGAAAGAAGAATTGCCTTGAGGCTTTTAACAGTAATTGCAACCAAAGGCAAGATCAAAACTAGCAGGGGCGGCAGGTTTGTAGAAATTTTGGTGGTGCCCAGAGCCCACCTCCCCAAAATTCTGCCTCCACCTGCCTCAGGCTCTGGGAGGGAGTTTGGGTGGGGGGGAAAAGGTCAGGGGTGCAGGCCCCGGGCTGGGGGAGGGGTGTAGGAGGGATGGAGTTTGGGTGCAGGCCGGGGGTTCAGGCTCGGGGAGAGCGTGGGGGGTGCGGCACTTACCTGGGGCTCGTAGGCAGGGTGGTCCGGCGGGGGCTCCACTTGGGGTGGGACACAGACCCACCCTGCCCAGGGGCTGCAGGGAGGGGCTGGCAGCCACATGGAGTGAGCAGAGAGGAAGCTGCTCAGCTCTGCTGTGCTGCCAGTGGTTGGAGGGGGGCCCCAGGCCATTTTAAATCACTTGGGGGATGCGGGTCTGGGGAGGGGGGGAAAGCACCTGGGGAAAGTCAGGGCCGAGGGAGAGACCTGGCTTCAAACATTGCTGGAGCTGGGCCCCAAGCCAGGAATATTCCTGGTTCCCAGGCACCATGGGTCTATAGAACTTTCCGCCCATGAAAACTGGATAAAAATCATGAAGTAGCTGCTGATGTTGAGAAACTCAGTTTGAAAACTGCAGTCTTATTCTCATGCTCCCCTTTTCACCCATTCCTCTATAAAATGGTGGTTCTGAGTAGCTGTTACTCTACCTGCAGAAGCAAGGATTAAATTGCATCAGTTTCCAATTACTCATTCACAAATGGCTAATCTACCACTCTGGAGCAGTGACTTCATTGTATTTGGTTTAGCTGAGAACGGTATCTTAGTGTCATTAAACATGGTTATGTAATATTAAGAAGAAGGTTGACGGATGCATCTGGTCTACAATTCTGAAATTCAGCCTTTGTGCAAAACGTTTGTCAAGCCCAATTCTGGGGCCTTGGAAGTCAAGGGAAGTTTTGCTCTTGATTTCAGGGGATGTAGGGTTGCCCCTTTTAAAATGTTAAACATTGTGAAATTGAGCAAATACAGGGGAGGCGCTTCCTCAAAAGACACTTACTCTTTTAAAGAGGTGAAGAGAAATCCTGGGTGCTAGCAAATCTACTGTCAGAAACTAAAGAGCAGGTTTAGACTTGCCTCTGGTAATTGTGTAGTGACGTGAACAGGCAGAGGATGCAATTATTTAGGAGCTTGGAAATTAATGGGGGAAGGGGGAAGAAAGCCACAAATGAGGGGAAAAATAACATTACTGGTAACAATTCTCAGAACAAAAACAGCCTGCTCCTATTCCTCCTTTCCCCATCCCCCACTTGTCTCAGCTTATCAAAAGAAGGGGGGGTGGAGGCAAAGGCAGTTGGAAGATGCCTGTAATGTAATGCCAGCTGGGAGTGTGACTAGCATCCGATAGGAGTGGATGGAGCATCTCTAAGCAGGGAAGCTTCAGGCTATCTTTACTGCTTTCAAGATGTGCACTTAAGTGCTTAAATACCTTTGAGGGTCTGGAGCTGGGTGAACTTTCTTTTATTCCTTTTCTCTTTGCTGCCTGTTTTTTTGTCTCTCTCAAGTGTGAAGAGAGAGTCCTTTGTTTCCTCTTCCCATTTTCTCTACCCACACTTCCCTTTTGTTTTCTTTGGCTATAGATTCATTTTTCTGTCATTCCTCCCCTTCTCAAACCTCTCTGGTGAAACAGTACTGAAAGCACAACTCAAGTCAGTTACATAAATATATTCCATATTACAGTACCATCCAATAAATATTTTTTCATAAAATGCTTTATACCATACATTTATCTATACTGCAGGGAGAGGAAAAACCTGGAATGTAGGAGTTTCACAATAGCTGTAGCTTGAAGACAAATTGCAATCTGCTTTTGGAGGACCAGGGCTAACCTTAGCTTTATTGTAGTCAAAGATGGGAGGCCTGCTGACGTTTCCAGAGTAGGGTGGCCTGGGTGAGCAACTTACTGAGAGAACACCCAAGACAGTTTAGCTGTCTTGTCTAGACTTTTTATTTAATGTTTCAACACTTGCTTTAGTGTTTTGCTGTGAAGAAAAGCAAACGATTATGAAGACAGCCTGAACAGAAGTCCATTTTGGACATTCTGCTGCTGAGCAGTGTTACCCCTCGGGGGGGCATGCTGAGTTATCCTTCACTAAATAGCAGTAGGCTGGGTTTATTTTAAGGATATAAGCAGATTGGCTCTGCAAGCTGCACCATGTCCCCTACTCCCACAGACTTCCCAGCGGACTGCTCACCTTGCAGGATCAATGCCTAAGAGTGAACTCCTGCTGTCCTTTTTGGGTGCCTCTTCATTACAAGAATAGCTGTATTTTTCCCTTGTGTTAACTAATGTGGTAAAATCCTAATTAAGACAAGGCAGTTAACTTGTATGAAACAAGCAACAGAGGGTCCTGTGGCACCTTTGAGACTAACAGAAGTATTGGGAGCATAAGCTTTCGTCGGGCAAAACCCTCCATTTTCTACTGCATCTGAAAAAGATTGGTGCTTACCCACAAAAACTTATGCTCCCCATAACT